CTTCAGTGTAATAGAGACGTTCCTTACCTAACCTTTTTTCCTTCCCAATACCGATTTGAATAACTGAAATAAGGGCTTTTAGCTCTTAGGCCTGTTTAAAACCCGATTTTAGTACACATTCCTAAATAAAAGGATCTTTCTTCTCTTGCGATGTACATGTTCATATCACAGTGAAGCCAAAAGTATGGTTTATTGGCCAGCCCTAAGTCACACTCTTAAAAAAAAAAACACTCTTTTCTGGATATTTGACAGCTGAAAGCTGTTTGATGTCCAGCATCTTTTCTCGCTGTCAGGGGAATATGGGATAGCACTTTCTATTCTTAACTTAATCCAACAATACTATTGGAAACCAGTATGAACCTAGAGATAACAATAAACACCCGTGAAGATGGATCAAACCCTCTGGTAATCTCCACACACATTCAGTCTCCATATGGCTGAGTGTGTGTTAATCTTATAAGCCAGGATCAAGAAAGTGAACCAAAGTAACCCTTATTTCACTCTGAAAATATGAATATTCTAACACGTATGACACCACACTTCTGACATCACTCTAAAACCTCTCTGCATGATTATTCATTGTTGTAATACATGTAGATACTAATTTGAGGCCAGTACTGGTGCAGAAAAATTCCATTAGGACTCTGTAGTTCTCTGGGCCATATCATGGTAAGTTTATACATGCATCAAAAGTACAGTATGTTGCATGTGATTCTTTCCTCCTCCTCTCTCCAGCATGAGAATAATAAGATTCCTGTTCTCCAAAAATGAATGAGCTTTTGAAGACAGGTTAATGATAATTAAAACTGTACTTTTGCCATGATAACAAACAACTTCCAATAGGCTGTGTAGGTGTCATCATCATCATCATCAGTATCTTTTGTGAAGAAAATAATACTTTGTGAGGCTGTATTTCAGCATACCATGCTCACAATAACAATGCTAACATGCTAATGTTTAGCAGGCATAACGTTTCCCATGTTCATCATTTTAATTTACCATGTTATCATGCAAACAGTTGCTAATTAGCACTGAACACATAATACAGCTGAGGCTTATGGGAATGTCTTTAGGGAGTTTCTCTCTCCAGTGTTTGTTGCTTCAGTGCAGTTTTTTCAGTTACCTGAATGAGCAGTATTTTGCTGAGTTTTTAATTCCGTTGTCTCTACATCTTTTGCACAGATTAGATTCATTCATTACTCTTATTGGATTTTTGTTCACGGGACGTGACATCTGACCTAAAAGAAAAGCATGACATACTTCTGTCCGTCCCTTCGCAATCCCTTATCCTTACATTTCACGGCTGGCGGGGGAAAAGATTAAAGAAAATCACAAGACAGATTAAGGAGAGAGGAAAGAGAGAGTTTCAATCTCAGTCGCCATGGTTTAAAGTAGGGCTTTGACTTTTGGCCAAAAATCATATTCGAAGTTTGTTTGTTTATTAATATTAATATTCAAATATATTCGAATATTTATTAATAATATTTTGTTCGTTATTTTACCATTCATGGTCCTGTAGCAGGGGATCTTGAATCTTGGCTCTAGTTCGTGGACGAAAGCTTGAAACCCGTTCCCATATATCACGTAAATGGGCCTCATATCTTCGCAAACAAACCGTGTCAGCAAATCTGTTGCT